AAGACACAGCACAACACAAACACGTCAAAGTCACTCTGGAAAGGAGGTGAGAATTATCGCTGGCGATGGGTGTTCATTCAAAGTTCTATTTGGGAGAGTGGAGTGGAATGGTGCTCAGATAGCAACTAACACGATATACTCTATTGCTCAAAACATGTGGGTTTCGTTGTACGCGGTCGATGATTGTGAGATGGATGTTACAAACCCGTCACATTATTACATTGGCAGCAACAGTGTTGTTGAAGAGTATTATAATCTACACACAAAGATCAACGAGAACAGAAACAGCATCAAAGAAATCCAAGGCGAAACTGCACAGAACATCTTGATCACAGGGAGTGTGCGTTCGGGGAAAGGAACATTTGCGATGCATTTAGTCAATTATGCAGTGAGAGAGGGATATACCCCACTGGTAGTGGACTTGAATTTGAAAACCAATTTGATTACCGTTCCTGGGTGTATTGGCTGTTCTGTTGTGTCTTCACCAATCACACCAAATACGTTGCTTGATTGCAACACTGAGCAACCCATTGTCTTTTGTTGTGGAACAACAAATGCGGAAGAAAAGTATGCTTTATTTTCACATTATGCAAAGGTTATGTCTCAGTTGTGTGCTGAGAAGCAAAAGAGTCACGTGGGGAGTTTGTTTCTATTAATGAGAGTTGGTTAATAGGAGGTAATTGTGCTGAAATATAGTTGCGAAATCGGGAACAATTGTACGGTGTCCATTTTTAACGACCGAAGGGTTGAAGGAAGTTGTCGACTGTTATAACATCGATTTGATTTATGTGATGGACAACGAACAGCTATACAACGATATTCACACAACACAATTTAGTCATCCGGTCGGGAGCTTTATTGTTCATAAACCTGCAGGAGTGCCACTGTGCACGAATTATGATGCGTTTGTGAGAAGAATGCAACACAGAATTGTGAACAACTATATGTGCGGGTGCTGTCCTGAAAAGCCGTTATGCCCACGGTCGAATGTGATTCTCGACGACACGTACAAACTCATTTTGATAAAGTCATTTAAACATGAGAATTCGGGGTATTTGCCGATTGGGCAGACACAAGTGCAAAACCCATTTGATGTAGAAGACGTCGAAATCAATTCAGACATGAAGAACAACGTGTTGGCAGTACTCAACTGTGACAGCATGGAAGATGTTTTGAAAAACACAACAACCGTATTAGGGTTTGTCATTTTCGAAGATTTCATCGTGTTGCCCGGGGAAACAGGGATCGAGAAGAAAACGATCATCAGGTCGCCTAACCCACTCGAGGGCTTGCCTTCCCATTTTATGTGTGCGACTGGGATGAAGCTAGAACAAGACATTGATTGATTTTTTGGTAGACTTTGGTTATAGTTAAATAATAGTATAATTTACCAACGTTTATAGAGGAAAGAACAATAAGAATAGAATTTGAATAGGGTTTCATTCAAATTCAAAAAACAGAATGTCGTCATCCGATGAAGAGATAGAAAAGATGATGAATGTTAAAAAGGACAACAGGTTCAAGTTTAAGGGGTTCACACAACTCCTGAAGGAGCTCAAAATTGATACGATCCATGATATCTACAACTCCGAAAGAGATCAAAAGGATTTGGAAGATATCCATCCATACGCATACGACAGTTTTATCAAGTGGGAAACAGACGATAGAACAGAATCATTCCACAACATCAAAGCACTTTTGAAGTCGAAGATGACCACACTACCACTGTTATTACTAAATTTGAAAACGATCACTGACATCATTTTTGTACACTTGGAACAACAAGACTCGATGGCTGTTCACTCACTTTTTGATATCGTTGCTCAAATTATCAGAGATGTACGAGAAGAGTTTTTACCATACGTTCCTCGATTGATTCAAGTTGCTAACAATAAGTTGGTTGGATGCACCGATATAGAAGATATCACAGATATATTCACTGCACTCTCTTTTATGGTCAAGTATTTACACAAGGAATTTACCAAAGATTTGAACACCTTCTTCAAGTCGTATGTACTACTAATTTCACACAGAAAGAATTATGTCAGACAATTTTCTGCAGAGGCTTTTGCGTATTTAGCAAGAAAGTTGAAACCATTGGAATTCACACAAATGATAAATTCGATCATTGATACATTCTTATTATCAAAAGATACTACACTCGACCCCACACACCAAAATTTGCTCAAAAGAGGTATTGGGATGTTGATGTTTGAAGCGATCAAAGGTATCAAACAAGAACTCATTCGAAAGGATACTGATTACATTTCGTGCTATTTTGACGCTGCTTTTGCCGCGACGGGTCAGAAATACGATATATGGACCTTAGCATTGACAGTAGTGAACAAAGGTATTGTCTTACACAAGAAAACAGGGTATGAAGAATACTTCATACTTCTTCAGAACAAACTCCCACCTACACCAACGCTGAATATTACCTCATTGACTTTGAAATTGACGATCAGATGGTTGGTTTCTGGAAGAGCAAATGGTATTACAGGATATGAAGAAAGAATATATGACATTTTGAAGTACTGCTTTTCAGTGAAAGAGTTTGAAAAGGTGTATCTCGACGCCATTTTTGTTATTTCGAAGAACAGTAACATGACAAATAAAATGATCCCTGTTGTCGATGAGTACATGAACATTTTGGATTTGGACAATCTTCAATCTGTGTTGCAACGTGTCTCAGAAAATCCAGTGTACTATTCACTCGTTTTAAAACATGTTATAATGAAGAAAGACATCACTTTGTTACTGAGAAAGAACGCACTCAGGTTCTACCCAATTGTCCCGATGGCAGACTCGGATTTAACTATGAAGACAAAGCCATATTTCCCAACTTCATTACTACCCGTATTAACAGAAGTGTTGGATAACATGGATTTAAATGAAGATGTCTGTTCACTTGCATGCTCTGTTGGTGTTGTTAAGATGATGAAAAATATCAAGCAAAAGGCGATTGACCGATTGAATACCAATATTGTTATGTGCTCTGCTATTTTGGCCGATTTTGAGACAGACAAAGACGAAGTAATCGTTACTGAACTTCGAAAATTGAAGAATTCGCAGTATTTGTGTGCACTTGCTTACTTTGTACAAAAGAAGAAAGTATCTGTTGAATACACCGAAGATGAGAAGAAAAAGATCTTTGAATACATGGGTTCTGTAAACATCTCTGAACGATCTGCAGCGACAAATTTGTTATTGAAAGGAGATTGCAGTCGCGCGAGAGAAGTGATGAGTCTTTTGAACGACATAGACATTCAGTTCCACAAGAGTCGAGCAGTGAACCTCCGGTTGACATACCTTTTCGACAAAGTTGATACTTACTCCGACGAAGTTCTTGAAATGGCTGCCAGAATCGCCATCTCCATGATGAGAATGAGATTTAATTTGTTCTGGAAACCCGCACAAGATCTTTTAGCTGCTTGTATAGCAAGAAGTCAATCGATTTTGAAGTATGTAATGAGTGTGGCGGAAAGCTTGTTTGGGAAGAAGCCAAGTGATGAAGAGAATGGCGAAGAAAGTGACCAACCCGTCAAAGTAAAAGAAATTGTTACAGAGGAACCAATCAAAACAATATTCAAGCAGTATAGTATGGATAATACAGACAACATCACAATGAGTAAGACAATTTGGGCGTCAATTGTACTCAACATTGACTTGTTTAAGCAAGAAAGTGTTGCGAATTGGTTCCTTTCTATTTTCAAGGAAAGGTATAATAACGTTGAATTGACGGTATCAGATCGAAGAGAAATTTCAGTGCTTGGCAACTTCCTTGAAATCATGAAAACATTGAAAGTCCCGAATGACTTGGTTCCAATTCTTAACAGACTTTTAACCACTCCAGATATTGATATATTGACCAATATTTATTTGACAATGGCAAACACAGATCCAGAGCTTGCAAGAGACTCTGAATCCGTCCAATCATTCTTAAATGCAACTAAATATCCACATGAATTCAAAACTATTGCGAATAACACAAAAGTTGGTGATAAGGCATTGGTCATTTTGTGTCGAATGGTGTTTTCTTTGATTGCTCAAATTTCGGTCAAGAATAAGGTTCAAGAAATGTTTATTAAATTTGTCAGTGGAGTTGACCCAAATATCAGAGAGCAGTTTTTGAACGATATTGTAGATATCTATAAGCAGTTTGTTGAGTCGAAAAGACGGTTTGATGGAAGAAGTGCAAAGGTGATTGTGAATACACTGAAACGGATTTCAGAAGAGTTTACAGATGACGCATTTGACAGTCGGTTTGGAGATATTTGTTTGAATTTAATAAAGAAATCACAGCCAAATGCTTGGGAAGTCCTCAAAATTATTTCAAAAATATCAAAGAATTTGAATATGATAAACATTGACCCATCAACTGCATTCAATTTCGAAGAGATTTTCAGATATGTATTTACCAAGAAGGCGATTAAATTGGGTTCTTTTGTTGGTGATGTGTTAATATATACAAACAAGGCGGGTGAATATTTACATGCAATTCCTGAACTAATGAAATCCTTTGTATCTTACATAAAAATCACACATGACAATATAGAAGATGTGTTGAATGTGTACAAAACAATAGACGATAAGGAAATTACTTTGGATTGCACTGCTTCGTTTAGAAAAATGATGGAAATTGGTGTAAACAATTTGAGTAAAGACTACGTTGACTACGTGATTAAAATAATGAACCATACCGAAGTGATGAAGTGTGAAATTCTGGACATCCACTTGCCTCATTCACAAGAATTGCTTTACCCACTTTTTGAAGCTCTTCTAACAACCACAGAAGCTGTGAAGAGGATTGCACGATATTTCTTTGAAACAACAGATACTGCCCTTCAGAACTTTGTTTTGCCAAAGTTACTTGTGAAGTACACCGAAGTAATTCCTTATTTGCACAAATACGACGAATTATTTACTCGTTTGAATTCGATGAAAATACCAAAAGGGTTGTGTTATGACTTCTTTGAGGAGTATTCATGCCAAGCATTATACGCCAAATTTGAGGGTTCTATGTTGGCGTCGGCATATCTGACAAAAATGTTTAATACAAGAAAAACGGAAACCCTAATTCCTCAATTATTAAAAATGTTTATTGAAAGACAAAGACCGGCGGTAGCTTCATTGCTTACATCATGTATCAAAAACTCAAACCACCCACTCAAGAAACTTGCTGAACTCGACGTCTTTGTTTGTTCTTGTGAATCTGAATTACTCAACATCAAAAAAGTATGTCGGGCTATTGACGAACTACCGGATGATATGGTTGATATAATTAGGGATATAGCATTGAAAGTACTCACACGAGACAGAGCAAGTCAAAAGTTGTATTGTTGGGTCGAAGTTGCAGAACATTGTTACCATTCATATTCATGGAACAAATACTCACGACTTATTAATAGTTATTTCACAACAATTTTTGAGAACACAAAGAAGAGGATTAAAGTGAATGTTGTGAAGCACGAGGAGGAAGTGAAAGGTAATCAAGAGAAGTTCCTTGCGAAACAGAAGGAAGCCATCCTCTTATCTCTTGGAATTAAGATGTCGCTTGTTGGTTTAAGAGTCGGTCTCAGAAATTTCAAGTACGACTTGAAGTCGAATTTTAATATTGAGGATTTGGCTGATTCACTATACTTGAAGCGTAACATTGAATCTTACACTGAAGGCAACCCATTTCAAACACACCAGGCGACAAATGGAGAGAAATAAAAGAAACAAGAG